CACACGGCCTTCCTGCGCATGCACCTTCCTTGTACTGCATGGTCAGAGCTTTCTTGCGCATGTGCCTTACTGGCCAGCGTAGCGACTCGCCCAAAAATATCAAAATATTTGATCTCAGACTTTGGCCACTTCCCTCTCCTGACCGCTTCGCTGTAACCTAGGACAGCGCCACACAAACAGCTAGTTTGATATTTCCGCTTCACCCGCGCAACTCGCGCCGCTTGCATTTAATCACTCACGTAGGACAGCGGGTAAGGATGCTAGATGCTGGATAGTGACTTGTCTTGTGGAATGGATGGCTGGGGTTTCGTTTCCAGTAGAGTCAAGAATTTTTCTCTTTGTCATACCTAGAACAATGCAGATCAACCTGCAAGCTAGTAATTTTAATATGAATGGAGACTGCACTTTTAGTTGGACCTGGTATCCAGTAACAAAAATGCTCAAGCAATCCAGTCAAAACACCAATAGAAAGCAGGGCCACACAGCACGAGCTCTTGACTCTGCCCACCAGCTGTGATTGGCTAGGGTCCAGCCATGAGCATTGGCTGGGCAGTTATATATGGAATACAACCGCAGCATCCAGTCACATCAGAACTGATGGGACAGAGGTGGTCCCTGTAACGTCAGTTTTGTCTTTTAACCATTTGACGTGTCTCAGTGACCGAGAAGATTTTATTGAGTTACGTCGCTGCGAAAGCTTAAAATCATATAGATATTTTCTGTTCTATAATGGAAGATAATTTAGTAATTTTTGTGAATTCTTATTTTTACATTTGATGAACATCAGTTTTATTGTTGAACAGGTTTGGGAACCTCTACCTCTAAAGAGGCAAAAGAATATTTTTCTGATATGGTGAGACATCGAATTAAGTTTAAGTACAGTGGCCCACAAGATGATCATTGCATCAACATGGTATGTAATTTGAAAATGACTATGTGCAGTATATAATATTTTCTTAAAATATTTAATTCTTTATTGATTGAGTGCCTTGGAATTTGTCTTGTGCATGCAAGATTTATTTTGTTTTGTTTTCTCCTTAAGGCCTTCAGTAAGAAATGTGCAGAACAACGTAAAGAATGGTTGACAAGTTGGATGGAAGACACAAAGCGTAGACGAGAACTAGGTCTTGCAGAACAGTACTTGTATGAAAAGGATACAAAATCAGTTAACTATGCAGACTTTGTTAACAAAGAGTTGGTACTCTTCAGCAATTGTGACAATGAACGTTCCATACCCAGTATGGTAGATGGTCTGAAACCAGGGCAAAGAAAGGTACAGTATATTATTTTCTTTTTAATTTTGAGTATTTATGTGTTCTGTGACTTTTGGTGTAGTGGATAGTTGTCTGTTTTTCTCTTCTTAGCCACATTTCCTTTCTTAAAGGAAAGAAATCACCATGTTCTCTATGTGCAATTAATAACTTTGCAGGTGCTGTTCACTTGTTTAAAGCGTAATGACAAACGTGAAATCAAGGTGGCTCAGTTGGCAGGCTCTGTTGCTGAACATTCATCATATCATCATGGTGAACAGTCACTCATGTCCACGATTGTCAACTTGGCTCAGAATTTTGTTGGTAGCAACAACATCAACCTCCTGCAGCCTATTGGTCAGTTTGGTACCAGACTTGCTGGTGGCAAGGATTCGGCCAGCCCTAGATACATATTCACTTTACTCAGGTAAGGAGTGTGCCCATTTAGTTTTCTCTTCTTTCTGTTTGATGAAGTCTCCAGCCTCTTCTGTCTTCCCACAGTCTTTGCTTTTTGCTTTCTTTCCAGCTGTTCTTCAGCTTCTTGATATCTTTTAGTATCTGGCTGAACCATCTTGTTCTGGGTTGTCCCATGGGTCTCTTTTCTTTAAATTTCAATTTACAGCCCCTCTTTGTATCCTTGTTCTGTCTTTTCTCGTTATATGCCAGAAATCATTGTTATTCTATTAAATTTTTGGATTCCAGTTTTATCCCAAAATCTAATCCCAGCACTCACACCACTTGACATCAAGTATTCAAATTGGGAGTGGTAAATACCCTACCCATGGAAAGATGTTAAAATAAAGAAATGGCTGTCATTCATGCGTTTATGATATGATTGATCAGCTTATTTTTTTTACACATTTGTGTCCATATTTCTGTTTGTGAGAATCTGGATAAAATGTTATGTTAAGAAAGAGTTCTCGTTAAATGTTATTAGTAAATATAAACTTGGTCCGAATTGTATGATACAGACTTACTTTATATGAAGCCTAAATAAATATATAGGGATGTGAGTGTTAATATTTTGAATAATATGCAATGTTTAGTTTTGTCATGCATCTGGTTATTTTTTAATAATTTCCTGAAACATTAAACTGGTCTTATTTAATATGCTTGCAGATAAAATGTTTTGTGTGTGCTGTTTGGCAACTTTGTGTTTCTTACCTTGCAGTCCTCTTACAAGATTTATATTCCATCCACATGATGATCCACTGTTGAAGCATCAGTATGATGACAATCAGAAGATAGAACCTGTCTGGTACATCCCCATCATCCCAATGATTTTGGTGAATGGTGCTGATGGCATTGGTACAGGGTGGATGACCAAGATTCCCAACTACAATCCACGAGAGATTGTTGAAAATCTGACGAGGATGCTAGACGATGAAAAACCCAAACCAATGGTAATAATGGACTCTGTTACTTTTACAAACACTTAAGGTTGAAGTTATATTGGTAATTGCGTTGGGTGTTTAGAATGGCTAGACAAGAACCAGTGTTTTCAACATGGTATGGCCGTTGGGGGTTGGTCGCAAGACTAACAACCTTGCACCATAACAAGGAAGATGTTTCGAAACCTCAATCAAAGCCTCGGACAGACAGACCTAACAGAGGACCGAATGGAAGAGGATAATTGAGGAGGCCATGGACCGAATACGGACCGGAGAGCCATAGAAGAAGAAGAAGAAGAAGTAGTTTAGAATGGCCAGGTGCAACTGTTATCTGATTGAGGATACATGGAGATGTGATTGAATAAGGACCTTTTATTGTAAACAGCAGCACATTATTACTTACTTGTAAGATTATGAATGAAAACTTTGTTTCTAGGTGCCATGGTATAAGAATTTCACTGGTGTGGTGGAACCTCTTGTTGACAAGAAGTACATTATCTATGGAGAAATTTCTATAATCAATGAAAGTAAACTGGAGATAACAGAGTTACCTATTGGTTCGTGGACACAGACCTACAAAGAATCTGTGCTGGAACCCATGCTGCATGGAGCAAATGAAAAGACTCCACCTTCCATAACGTATGTTGGGATACAGTTCTATTTTTTCAGAATGTTGCCTGACAAACTAGATAAAGAAATATTTAAGCTTTGAAAGTAGGTTTATATGCATTATGTTTGTGTGTTGTTCTTTCAGTGATTACAAAGAGTATAACACTGATACAACAGTGAAATTTGTTGTAACGATGAGTGCTGAGAAACTGAGGGTAGCTGAATCTGAGGGTCTGCATAAATTTTTCAAGCTTCAAACAACAGTGTCATTGTCATCTATGGTAAATATTATTACTTTTAAAGCAGATACAGGTTTTGCATTGACATTTGTCTCTGTAAGTGAATACCAGTACTGTACTTTATTGTAGCCTGTACATTTGAATTTACTGGAAATCTTGTAATAACAAAATGCACTACTGCACAGCACTAAAATGTAAGTGTAAAAATTGTAGAGTTTTTACCTGTAGATGGTTACTACAATTAATTTGTATGACTTCTTTAATTGTGGATTTTTACAGAACTCTTGATTGTTGGTCTTTTATATAAATGGATACTGGGAACGACCCATTCTTCAAGTGCCTGAGCACTGCGGGTCCCAACTTTTCATTGGCTTGATTTATAGACATTCGGTAGGACTCCTTGGACGAGGGATCAGCCTGTCGCAAGGCCTCTACCTGTACACAGGAAAGCCCAACACAGAAAAATGCGGAGGGGGATTCAAACCCACGGTCCCAGCGACCAAGCGGCACAAAGCCCACGCCTCAGACCGCGCGGCCACTGCGGACCCCTCCTTTTATATAACATTATATATATGTATAATTACAAAGTTATTCTGATTCTTTGCAATGAAAGAAAGAAAGAAAGAAAATGTGATGCAGAAGTGAATACGTGATCCATGGGATGTAATAGACATGTATACAGTGAGTTGATTACATGTGTATCTGTTAAATGTACATTGATCATTGTTCTTTGCAGTGCGTTTTTGATGATAACTGCTGTATGAGGAAATTTGAATCTGTTGAGCCAATCCTTAAAGAATTCTTCAAATTGCGTCTTGCCTATTATGGAAAAAGGAAAGACTATCTCGAAGGAATGCTGCAGGCGGAATCACGAAAACTCACCAATCAAGCAAGGTAAATGAAGTATTTTAATTTTAAAATCTTTATAGACCAAGGACCTCATGCACAATTTGGGTATGTATGTTGTGTGGTCCGTTTGTCCACAAGAAATAGGTTGTTACATCCTCCTGTGTTACCCAAGAATCAGTTTCAATTTGGTACTGTGTGTCTGAAACAATGTTTGAATATGGAAAGTGAATGAACCTTTAAATGCTGTGTTTGGAAATCCAGGTTTATTATTGAGAAGTGTGATGGCGTACTTATTGTTGAGAACAAGAAGAAGAAAGTGATGATAGAAGAGCTGAAGAGAATGGGTTATGATTCGGATCCAGTGAAAGCATGGAAAATAAGACAGAATAAAGATGAAGCTCTAGTAAGTACTCACCAGTTACTGTATTGTCTTCTAGATAGAATGGCTGAAGGGTTAAAAAATATTAATATTGTTTTTATCACATTGATCACTGGATGTGGTGAATGATTTTCATAGGCAAACAAACTTTTAAGAAAGAACTACTTGAAAGTACATACTCTCTCCACAAGTCTTTAATGAACTGCTCTGAAGTAATGATACTGCTTGTTTCTTACGTCACACATCTGTATAATGCTCGTAACTGTGTATAATGAATTGTTTTATTCTGATGCATTTAATGAATTCTGTAGACAGTATAAATAGTGGCAGGTGTCACTTTAACCAATCTAACTGACATGTGAAAGTTAGTGCACTGCATGAAACAAACTGTGAAATAATTTTACCTATCATTAAATTCAGGTTCTAAAAGATTGTGACACATCACATGTTTCTCCTTCCCACCGTAGTGGTATGTGGTGATAGGTTTGTAATAACCCGATAGATGGTGTTAACAGCAACTGGACAGAATGAATTTTATGATAGAGACAGAAATGTTTTATATTTTGGATCTCAGGCTCCTCTCGTAACTCCAATATAAATAAAGGTTGAACTGCTATCATACGGTGTAACTGAAGTATGTATTTCTGAAAGAATATAAGTCCTTCCTTGGTAAAAGTACTCACTTTTGTTTTAGTGTGACGTACAAGTCCTGTAGACTGCTTAATTGCCAAACCTGATTTGTATGGCTGTGTGGCAGTTATGTGTTAATGAATGGTCATTATTATTAGTGTTCTTGGGTTTTCATGTAATTTTTGAGAACACAATTATGGCATCTATCTAATTTTGTTTCTTCTTGATTTAAGAAATTACTTTCTTTGTTTTATCTTGCTCAAGGAAATTGGAGTGGTAAGTGTCATTCAAGAAATTTTTGCAAAAGCAAAGACTTATGTTGAGGTTTTCAAGTTAGTAAACAAAACAGTACTTTATGCAAGAGTTAAGTAAGTCCCTGTGACATGTGGCCTGGGAAGTCATGCTGCAATACTAACAGACCAAAGAGCATCGTGCTTGTTCTCATTTGATGTAAACTTTACTGATAATACTTTAAAACATTGGAAATTATAAAATAGTCAGTAATAATAAAACAAATAAATGAATAAAGATACTATGGACAGCAGAGCGATGGAATGCAACAAAGACGTGTGATAAATATCTTTGTACTGAAGACCAAAAAGCTGGCATAAACATTTTTTATGTTAGCTACATTGCCAGTTTATTTTCTCATGAATTTGATATTTTTTTGTTTTATTTTATTTATTAATTACAATTTGTGTAGTCTGTATATAAATTATTCCTTACATTTTAAGAATATGGTAATTATGATCAGAAATTCTAATGCATGCTATTTCATTATTGTTATTTTACCATGATGTTTAGACAGAGCAGATGGAAAATGAAGATGCAGAAAGTTCACAACAAGAAGAAGACACTGATCTAGCAGGACAGTATGACTACCTCCTTGGGATGACGATGTGGTCATTGACAAAAGAGAAGAAGGATGAATTGTTAAAGAAACGTGATGAGAAACTTGTTGAACTTAAGACATTGCAAGCCAAAACTCCTTCATCGTTGTGGAAGGAAGATCTGGAAGAATTCAATAAAGAGGTTGGTTCTAAGAAAGTAGTGCATTTCTTAAAGGAACTTGCATCTGCATTTGGTAGTCTGTCCTGTCACTATTACTTGACCATTGATGTCCATAAACATTTTTATTATGGAAATAAATTTATTGATGTTGGATAAATATCTTTGAGGGCAATTAAATAATAGTGACAGTTTATAGACAAATTTAATGCAAAATTACTCTGTATATGTAAAGTGTATTGCTTTTTAGCATAGTCTCTCTGCTTTTCTGAACACCTGTTCCAAGGATAATAGTTTTTTTATATCTGTGAATTATTTTTCGGTTGCTGTCGTAACTGTGTGCCAGTCACTGGCTGCATGGCCTGAGGCATGGGCCTTGTTATAATATGTATATTTCAAGTTACTACTTACCGTTTGTTATATAAAAATTCCCAGTTGTAGAGAATTATTTTAATAGATTGGTGTTATTTTTTATTATGGAAGTGTCAGTTTTAAAATTTTCCACTTGTTTTCAGTAATAAACAGAGTTTTGTTTTAAACCATATTAAAAATTTTAACAACTTACAGCTTGATAAAGTTGAGGCAAAGGAGAAAGAAGATGCTTTAGTGGGAAGCTCTGGAAAGGCAATGAAACTAAATAAAAAGTTTGGTGGACCAAAGAAAAGGGAAATGTTGAATGCGGCAGAAACAAAACCATCTCCGCAAGGGCAGCGCGTTGTCCCTAAAATAGATCTGAAACTTAAGGAGAAATTGGAAAAAGAATCATTGTCAAAAGAAAACAAAGGAAAAAGGGTAAGTAACATGTGCAATTCTAACATCTTGGTATACATACTTTTTACAGGACAGGAAAATTTCTTATTTCTATTTTAAGAAGCATGTTGAAATTTAGAGGGGAATGATTTCTTTCATCTTAATCCATCACCCTCTCTTCCTACCTTTATTTTATTTGTACCTTTATCTTCTTCCTTCCTCTTTTTCTATGGTACTTTCATTTGTCTATTCTATCCTCTCCTCTTTTTCCCTTTCGTTTATCTCCTTTCATATTTGATTTTTTGTCCCTTCTGCATCTCAATCTCCTTAGTCTACCTCACCCTTTCTTGTGTCCCATTTCCCACAACCGTTTTAGATGCCACTGTTTACATTTTAAAACAAAAAGATCCTTCATCTCTGTTGGTCATGCATTGCATCTTATATGTGATTTAATTGGCTGTGTATCATGCTGACATTCGGCTTAACCAGTAACCTTGGACCAGTGTTCTGTTTATTTACTTGCCTCGTCCCCCCCTCCCCCATAAAGATTTTGGCCAAAAATAAATTCAGTGGGTATGAAGAAATGCAATTTTAATAATGTAGCTTGTTCTTCCAATGCCTCTTTTATTATCATTAACTCCTCACCGCCGAGTGGAGTACTACGAGGGTGAGTCAAATGAAAACCGTAAAACTGAGATAAAAATTCGAAATATCGCGCCATTGTCCTATAAGTTGGCAGACATGTTACCAATGCTATAAAGAGTATCCTATAGGTGGTAGTATAATGCAGACAAACATATCGCCATCACAGTGCCAATTTGAAAATGGCTGCTCCACTAGTTACGTGCACGAAAGAAGAACAACGTTCTGTAATTCGTTTTTTGATCAGTGAAGAATCTTGAAGAATCATCTTCGACCTGCAGTCAGATCAAAGCGACGTGGACTTTTGACTAGAGGTGTCCTTGACATGACAATGCTCGGCCCCATACTGCCCGTGCAACAGTTGCAACAATCCAAGACTTGCACTTTGAGTGTCTTCCACATCCGCCATACTCACTAGACCTAGCCCCAAGTGATTACCACATGTTTGGGCCACTCAAAGAGGCGATGGGAGGAAAGAAGTTCCGTTCTGATGAAGAGGTA